CTAAACCTGTGATTTATATTTTTTGTTGAGTACTTCCATTATCAAAATATTTCCAACCGTTATCAAAGCCAGAGAAATCCTTAATCTTAGAGTTGTAACAGGACATGTCTTGTAGTGGTGCCCGCCATGAGAGAGCCGCCATTTTTAGCGTTGCCTTGGAAACACTGTATGTTAAGTCAAAGACCGCTACATAAGGAAGCGTGAGCTGCTACTGAAAGCTGCCCTCCTGTTGCTGTGTGTGTTTCCTCACGTCCAAGTTCAAAGTGTTCCATGTCTATCCGGCTGCTCGCTGTCGTTCCCCTAAGCCCCTCCCCCCGAAAAAGTGATTGTCCAATCATAGCTCAGCAGCCTTTTGAAAGTCACAACAGGTTGGCTGAGGTGGGTTAGGTCTTTTATAAAATCAACATAAGTGTAAGTTAATCAAGATGAAACTGTTTTTATTGACTTTAACAGCTGCTAACATTAGCATATGAAGCTAACCAGCTAACTCCCATAGTAACAAGAGGTAGTGTTAGCTAACCAACGTCACAGTTTACGTTAAAAAAAATCCAAATAACACAAAACCAGAGCAGACACTGTTTGGGAGCTAGGAGAAGTAAGCTAACATCAAGTGATCAGGAGGGGGGGGGGGGTTACTCCTTGTTCATTATTCTGCACTTAGCTAGCTGCTGACGTTAACATGTGTGGCTAGCTAGCTTTCTCACAACAGTGATAGAAATGTTGTTGACGAATCAGTAAAAAATACGAATAACATCCACTGCTTGGTAGCCAAGATGCTAACGTATCATCCGTTTCTAGCATCTCTGTTGTGCGCTTTATTAGATCCTAATTATCAGAGTGAACATATTTTCAAACTTCCGAATTGTAAAAGCATTAAACCAATTAATCTAGGTCGCTATTTGACCAGCAATTTACGTCAACGCTCCAGTCAAAACATTCAGACTTTCAGAAAAACAACGCGAACACACTGAAGTCAGAAGAACGATCGCCCAACGCGGAAACTTGGAGCGTCCGAGGAGCACCTGAATGCAGCGTATTAGACGAGGTTTATTTCATTGGCCTAATTAGCTACAAGCTTACTACTAATGTTAGAGGGGGATTAATGGTCATGTTGGAGAACTCACATTTGGGACTGAAACTGCAGGATCTAAGATGCTAAGCTAACTTTAGCATCTCTTTTAAATCTATAGGGAGGATTAGATGTAGTAGTTGCAGCCAGAGTATTTTTCTTAAAGAGTCACATTTACAAAATAAAAAATATAAGCAGTTACAAAAATAGATTTTCAGTCAGCAGCCTCTGAATCAGTGAATCATGATTCTTGTCCCAGAGCGATGAAAGTTTCATGATTGTGTTCCTGAGTTGATTAAGATCGTCCTGGTCCTGGACTGATAATGATCCTGGTTCAAAGATGATGATGATGATGATGATATAAAGTTTCGTCCTGGTCTCAGTCTGATGGGGTTCAGGACTTGGCATCGAGCATCTCCAGCAGCAGTTTGTGGAGGGGGACGCAGCGTTGGCGGTGCAGCCTCAGGAGGACCTCCACGGCTCGGCCCGCCGTCTGTCTGAGCAGGGGGAGACTCATCAGCATCCGGCCCGCCCGGTGCTGCTCCCTGCGGGACGCCTCGTACTCCTGCAGGGCCTCGTGGAGCTCGTCCTGGAACCTCTGCACCGAGTCCGGACAGTCCAACAGGTCCACATCTGACCGGCGGACAAAATGGAGGAACTGTCAGAGGTGACGCACTTAAACACATTTGACTTTTTGACACTTATTTCTCGTGTTCTTCGGATGCAGAGATTTTCACTTTTATTATTTTTTCTTTCATTTCTGCATCTTTATAGACGGCAGAGACAGAGTGAACAGCAGACTCAATATGTGGCAAACAGAGGACATGAGACGGTCAAGTGAGGGACAAAAGGGAAGGTCAAGGTCAGCCTGTGGGTGTTTGTACCAGACACACACACACACACACACCACACACACACACACAGCTGAGCATCTTCCATTGTGTTGTGTATTGACGTTCACTCGGTTAATGGTCTGAGCAGACAGTTAACAGTTTATAGATCCAGAACGAGTCTATCGATACAGGGTTATTGATCCGAGGCTCAGACAGTGAGAAACCGACCAGACTTCAGCTGGAAGGACCCACCATCGTCCCAGCATGCACTGCTTCAACAGGAGTACTATTGATCGGCTGCTAACACAGCCGTGTTAGCATTGTTAGCATCATTGATTAATGAGGGCTGTGTTTAAATTAAGTTAATTAGAGAAGTGTAGATTCACTTCAGAGTTAGGTAACGGATTAAGTCCGAAATAGGAGGGGGAAATATCCCCCCCCCGATTTAAAAAAGAGGAAGTCTCTTTGAGCTGATCAATACCGCGCTGCTTCATCTCCCAGGGTCTGATCAATATCAATAACAACTGCTCTGGGATCAATAAGTTCACTCCAACAGCCCCAAAACAAAGCCCCTCTGATTATTAATCAATACCTGTGTGTGTGTGTGTGTGTGTGTGTGTGTGTGTGTTTGTACCAGAGTTAGCGAGAGCCATGGCCTTGAGCGTCACCGCCTCCTCGGGGCTCAGGTGCATCCCCTGGTATTTGGCGGTCAGGTGCCGCAGTGCCTCGTACAGTTCGGCCAATCCAGCATCTCGACACTGAGCCTCATCCAGCCGCAGGTTCCCGGCAAACACAAGCTCCTCCCCCGCAGAGCACTGCGACCGGCAGGCCACGCCCACCAGCAGCGCCTCCATCCAACCGCTCTGCAACAGCGACATCTGGTCGACCAATGAGAGCCCGGAGAAGCCTGAGCGGCCGTGGAAAACGTAAAAATTAAAATGATGCAAAATGAAACTTATGACCGATGCAGAGCTGGATAAACACTGAAGCTTCAGCAGTTAACGGTACATATATATATTTGTGTTGATTTTTCTATCTCGTATTTGAAAATATGTTTAACTGTGTACCTGGGATCTGTTTGGCCCAGCCAATCAGGACCAGCAGCTCTCTGTTCAGGAGGTCACAGAGGGTCAGCAGGGTCCTCAGGCTGCTGTCATTGGTCGATTCGTCCTGATTGGCAGCCAGAGGGGCGGGCTCTGTCAGCAGCAAATGGGAAATCACCTTGTTCCCTGAAGGAAAGTCAAAGGCAGGTATTTTATGTCATTAAAATATTAATTTAATGTTTGAATTGGAATGAGGACGCTTGAGTTTGAACTCACGGCTGCTGACGGGTTGGGGGTACGGGGTCTTTGAGTAAAAACTGAGTCCGGTCTCCGCCCGTCTCTTGTACTTCTGTCGTCCTCCTCTCACTCGATCCATACGAACACCTGGAGAGAGAGAGAGAGAGAGAGAGAGAGAGAGAGAGAGAGAGAGAGAGGGAGGGAGAGAGAGAGAGAGAGAGAGAGGAGAGAGAGAGAGAGGGAGAGAGAGAGAGAGAGAGAGAGAGAGGGAGAGAGAGGGAGAGAGAGAGAGAGAGAGAGAGAGAGAGAGAGAGGGAGAGAGAGAGAGAGAGAGAGAGAGAGAGAGAGAGAGAGAGAGGAGTCATTTCTTAAAGTTCATTTTGTGTTTTTTTTTGGTTTTCTTTTTGGTGGTGAGGTTCAACAACACTGCAAAGGATCATGGGAAGTTTCACAAACAGAGCGACGAACAGATTGGACGTGACGTACCCTCCCTCATCATCCCGGCCTGGAGACATTTCCGGAAGCGACAGGCCTGACAGGCTTTCCTCCTCCTCTTGGTGATCTCACACTCGTTCATCACCGGACAGCTGTACTCGATGTTGCCTAGGTAACCAAGAACAGGAAATGTGTGAACCAAGGTCAGTGACATCATCTAAAGGCTGCACCTCTTCAGGACACGTAAATAAAACCAGAGAGAACAGCTCTCAGGTCAGCTCTCCAATCGTTAACTCCAGTAAGGAAGTCATAATCCCTAAAGTCCTGTAGTCCTGGTAGTGAACCCTGTGGTCCTCCAAGAGAGCAGCCGGGGGTCGAGTCCGCTGTTAAACCTCTTAAGTTTTAATAATCCTGAACATCAAATTAATTATGTCATCAGAGAGAAAAACTTCTCTCAGCTATAACTGACTCTATGTTTACATGTTTCTTCAGTCTGTGTTGTTATTCATCATAAGGGGGCGGGGTTTGAACTCTGGATTTTGGTTGGGGGGGGGGGGTCTTTGAGCAGCCTGGTGACGCTCACACTGTTTCATCGTGTCATGTTTAACAAGCTGATGTGTGCGCTCACAGCTTCACACACTAATCAATGCAGAGAGCGCCGCTGACATATTGATCACTTTTTGACGATTAATTCACTTATTGATCAGCGCTGACTGACGCGGCCCCGCTGCTCTCACCTTGGATGGTCCTCTTGAAGAAAGCCTTGCAGGCCTCGCAGGACGCCACGCCGTAGTGATACCCGGAAGCAAAGTCCCCGCACACCAGACAGAGCCTCTTCGGCCCGGCGGCGCCCAGTGACGTCAGGTAGTCCCCCCTCAGGATGGAGTCCACCTGCAGGGAGGAGACACTTCAGTTGGGGACTATTTTCAGAGGCGGAGGGATATATACACTCGGTGCTCTAGTGAGTGTTTATAATGACAGATCGTGTACCTGCACAGCAAACAAATCTGTCTGTGAAACGGAAAACCGCGTCGCAGCTTCGGACACCACAGCACCACCGAGAAGGCTTCCTCCACCGCTGGAGCTGGATCCTGTCGGGGAGTCGGGCTCTGGTGCTCCACAGAGGAGGCCGTAGGAGCAAGAGGAGGAGGAGGAAGAGGAGGAGGAGGTGCGCCTGGGGAGGATGAAGGCCTGGTGTGAGGGGCTCTCCAGGGGAAAGGGGGGGCTGATGGGGGAGGAGTGGAGGAGGGAGGAGGCCGGAGAGGGAGCTTCATCAGTGGAGGAGGAGGAAGAGGAGGAGTCCAAGAGGCTGGAGAGGAAACAAGAGAGTGAGATTAATCAGTGTGTCTTTCAGAGGATTTGACCTCTTATAGAGCTGTGGAG